TGTTTGGATGTGTCCTGGGAATGCATCCCACCCCCTTCCACTCCTCCAGCCGCCTCCACTGCCCTTGGGCCATTCTGAGACCCGGGTGGGGACTTACATCACAGCGTAGTTCTCAGAGTCTTTGATATGTCTTCATGGCTCAGTTCCATGTATGTGTATCTTGGAGGTGGGCTTGGGACTTCATATGCAGCTTACGGAATCCCTTTCTCAAGCTTCCTCCTTTTGAAGACAGAAAGCCAAAGTCTTAGTTTCCTCATGCGCTTCTTGTGATACACTTCCTGTGACTGCATCTGCCCCTCGGGGGAAGCAGTGGGAGGAAAGGGAGAGAAAAAAGCAGGGAATCCTCCCCGCACTCTTTTGACTACAAGGGCTCCCTTTGCCAGTTTCTATGGTCAGAGAGAGGGATGTTTTTCTCTCTCCTACTTTCTCTGTCAGTGTGGGCATGTCTGCTGTTGTTGCTATATTGCTACTACAGCCATGAAAGGGCATCTTTGGGATAGGGTCTTGCCTCAGAGCACTGTTGGGTGGGATTAAAAATAAAACCAGGGGGGCTGGCCCAGTGGTATAGTGATTGAGTTTGGCACTCTCTGCTTCAGCGGCCCGGGTTCACAGGTTCAAATCCTTGGCGTGGACCTGCACCACTCATCAAGCCATGCTGTGGTGGCAACCCACATACAAAGTAGAGGAAAGATTGGCACAGATGTTAGCACAGGGCCAATCTTCCTCAAGCAAAAAGAGGAAGATTGGCAATGGATGTGATCTCAGGCCCAATCTCCCTCACCAAAAAAACAAAACAAAAACAAAAACCAGGGTTTCCCCTCTACTTACTCTGTCCTAGTCCTCCGAGCAGAAAAAGGAGCTTTCTCTTGGAGCTGCTTCTTCCCGTGCCTGCTATGCAGTTCTGGGATTCAGGATGCTCTGAGTCTGAGCTAGGAGATACGGGAGGATAAAAAACAAAACCTTAAACTCACTGCCATATCTTTCCTTGAGTTTTGAATTCTCTCTCCAATCTGTCTGCTATGATTTACTTCTCAGAGTCCCCCAGTAACTGCGTGATGGATTCTGTCCAGGGTTTAGTTGCAATCATTGGAGAGATAGGGTGGGGTGCGTTTCCTCCATCTTAACCAGAACTAGCACTCCTACCTTGATCTTTTAAACCCCACAGGTTAGGCATTGTTATTACTGTTTTATAAGCTCAATATTTGCTTTGATTTACCTACATGCTGACTTCTTTTTCCTCACCATTCCCTTTTGCACCTCAGACCTTACTTCTTTCTGTTACTTTTATTTTGCCTGAAAATGTCTTTATTTTGCTAGGGTTCTAGAAAATAATTTATCCGGGCATGTAATTCTAGGTCGACATTGTTTTTTCTTCACAATTCCAAGATAACATGGCATGGTTGTTTGGATTCCGTTGAGAAGTTACCTCTGTCTGTTTGCTACTATTCTGTAGATACTATTTTTTTTTTTTAATTTTGCCTGCTATTAATGTCTTCTTTTTGTCTTTGGTATTTTAGAGTTTTACTAGAATGTTTCTGGTGTGGACTTCTTTTTATTTATTACGCTTAGAATTTATTGGGCTTCTTGAATCAGTACCGGAAAATTCTTAGCCATTGTCTCTTCAAATACTTCTTATTTCCCAGTTTCTCTAGTCTCTCTTTCTAAAGTCATATCATTCGACATGTCAGACTTTCTTACTCTTGCCTTTTACGCCTGACTTTTCTTCATATTTTTATTCTCTGTGTGTCCATGCTGCACTCTGACAATATCTTTGGACCTATCTCCAGTTGTTTCTAACTTGTTGTTTAATTTATCCATTTAGTTTTTTATTTCAGTATTTATATATTACATTACTAGAGTTTCTGTCTGTGAGTTTTTTTTTTCCGCCTGATCACTTTTACATGCTCTTGTTTCATATTTCCAATATCTTTTCTTTCTTTAAACATATTATTTTATGACCCCTGTGAGGTAATTCTACTAGCAGTCCTTGAGGGTCTAGTTCTGCAGTTAATTGTTTCTGCAGTCCTCTTGCTCATGATCACTTGTTTTGCTGTGTTTGATGATATATATATATATATTTTTTTTTTTGCTGAGGAAGATTCGCCCTGAGCTAACATCTGTGGCAATCTTAATCTATTTTGTATGTGGGTGGCCACCACAGCATGACTGAGGAGTGGTGTAGGTCTGCACTGGGGATCCGAACCTGCAAACCCAGGCCAGCAAAGTGGAGCATGTGAACTTAACCACTAGGCCACAGGGCAGTCCCCTTGATGATTTTTTTTTTAAATTGAGATTTCTTCTTACTTGGAACCTAATCTGTGGGGATTCTTTGAGGTCTGGGTGTAAGTGGCTTCTTCTAGGGGGGATCTGTGTTTACATCCGCCGGGTGTAGGTGTACTACCCCTCGAGGGTCACTTTAGACGACGTGATTGGCTTTGTAGTTTTGAAGCTTCACAGGCACTATGAATTCTGGCGTAAACCCTTGAGAGTGTGGATGAGTGGTGGGATGCTCGGGGGAGATATTTTTCATTCTTTTCTTTAAAGCCATGGCTGAAAAATCAATCCCCACTCCCTCCCTCTTCAAGGCAGTTCCCTTTCTTCTGGTTCACTACCTGAGGGTCTAGGGAAATGCAAACTTCTAGTCCTTAACAGAAAAGGCCTGAGTGTGGGTGTGGGCTGGACTGCGGAGGAGGGGCCCAGGGTCACCCAGGGGCAGACGCAGACGGTCGGGTGGTCGGGTGCTGGGGACGCACTGCTGAACTGCAGTGGGGTGAGGTTGGGGAAAGCAGCAGCAGCTGACCGCGGGTGGAGGTATTCACGGGGGTGGGGGTGCCGGTGGGGTGGCGGGGTCCTGAGGGCCATCTGGGGAGGGGCGAACTTGGGTCCCAGGCTCCGGAGTGGGCTGCTGGGCCAGCTGCTGTGGGCGAGGGCAGGGTTGCGGGACCGGGTATGGAGCAGGTGGGGGTCGCGGACGCGAGCGGGACACAGGTCTGTCTTCCTCCTGCAACCCCTGCAGCGCCTCCGAGGATGCTCTCCTCTCTGCGGAGCTGGCGTCTCCTGCTGAGGAACTTCCAGGGAGGCCCGGAGGCAGCCGCGCCTTCGGGCCCCTCGGCAGAGGGTGTCAGCGGCGCCACCTGCTGGCGCCCATAGCTCCCTGCGCGCCTCCGAAGAGCGGCCCCCGCGGAGCGCCGGCTGGTGGTCCTCGCGCGCCTGGCCTCCCGCCCGGCCGGCTCCGGAGGGTCTGTCCGCACCGCCCCAGCGAGGCCGCTGGGCGGCGCGTGCGTGCTGGCCCAAGCTGCTGGCAGCGGCCCCCTCTCCCTCCCCCTAAGACACCTCTGCCGCCCAGCTCTTCCACCTAGAGCATGATCTCCGAGACCGGGCTCTGAGAAGGGTCCTGGACCGCTGATCTCCAGGGCTGCGTCCAGCCATGTCCCTGCAGTGCGCGCCACAGCTCAGCATTCTCAGCTGGTCCCTTCAGGATGGCTGGTTCGGGCACTTGGGGCTGGACAGGGGGGAGCAGGCTGGCTGTGTAGCCTGCCCCTGTCCCGAGGTTTTTGGTTTCACGTAGCACAGGAACCAGGCTGGGTTGCGGCTTCCTGAGCTTGTGGAAGGCTCAGGCCGGGAGGCCCTCCCCTGACTCCACGATGGCAAGTGGCCTTGCTGGGAGGCGGGCTGGGGCCCTGGGGCCCTCAGAGCTCCCTACCTCCCTTGTCTCATGACCCTTCCCTTCTAGAGAAGTAAGGCTTCCCGGGGAGCCTGGCGCCAAGGCCTCCCCTGAGACCCTGCAAGCCCCATTGACCCCACACCACTGTCCCTGGTCCGGACATGGTCCCAAGACTACTGGGCCCCTGACCCTCCTCAGGGACCTCTGCAGCACCCCCTCCTCTCTCCCTTGAGCCCCCAGCCCTGCAGGGACCACTGAGCCGACTAGGCCAGTGCTGAGGGCTTCACAGAGGCTGACCCCTGGCAGGCCCAATGACCCCTTAACCACCCCGTCACCCTCCCTGGTCCCCCCTCTCCCCAGTGCAGTGTAGAGCTGGTGGCTGGATGGCGATGGGTCCTAGGAAGGCCACATCTGAGCATGCCTGCAATAGTAAGCTGGGTTTCCAGAAGATTCTGTGGTTGGACACAGCCTCTGGGCAGGCCCTCCCTGAGCCAGGCAGAGGGGTGGTTCCTGGCTTGGCAGGTGGCATGGCTTGGGATTTCCCATACGCAGGATGGAGGAAGGGGCTGAGTGGCAGGTGTACCCCCCCAATAGTATTCAGCCTGGTTGGGGTTGCTACCTTAGCCTGGCTCCTGCCTGCCCTCTGCCACCTGGAACCCGCCACGTTCCTGTGGAGCCTGGCAGCTTACAGAGCTCTCTCGCCGAGCTATCTCACATGGCAAAGGCGCGATGAGGCCCAGGCTGCAGGCCTGTTTGCTGAAAGCGGGCTGGCTCCCAGATGGGAAGGTTAGTGGGGAGGGGAGCCTGCGTTCAGCTGCTGTCTGAGCGGGCCTCTGCCTGCCCCCCGAATGGCCAGTGGGGAGTAGTCCTGGTGTCCTCGTGATAGGAGAGGAGCCCGAGGAAGGCACCGTGGGCAGATTTGGGACGTGGAGGGAAGACAGGAGGGCCCCATCCCCAGGCCATCAGGGAGCCCCTGTCACAGGGACACCAAGTCAGACGACAGGGACTTTTCTCAGGTTGAAGCCCCAGAAACTCCTTCTGCTCTCCTAGGACGTGGTGGGATTTGAGTATGGACCATCCTGCCTGGGGGCCACCAGACCCCCAATCCTGTCTTCCCACCTGGTGTCCCTCAGCAAGGTCTGCAGGGCCAGGAGTCCCCCTGCCCGACACTGCCACCCCAGCCCCAGGATCACCCCCTGTCCGGGGGTGGGCAGGGGAGGCATCTCCCAGGCTGAGGCCCTGTCTTCCTCCACTTCTAACCTGACCCCTGTCTCCCAGGGGTTGTAACTGCCTCTAACCTCTTTACCCCCCAAGAAAGAAAAGGCCCAGGCAAGGCTCCGGTCAGAGAAACCATTTTGTTGACTTAGTTATGACATCACTTGGGAGAGTTGGGGACTTGAGAACAGGAAACCACCTGGGATGGGGTTTGTCACCTCACATACACACACGTGTGCCCACACACGCTGACCACATCCGCAACAAGTGCGCCCTGGCCAGGCATGTGTGGAGACACTTACTGGAGGCCTAAGAATAAAACCAGATGTGCAAAGGTGGTGGCGCCCAGGATGCAGACACCCAACAGAGGGGGTCCCAGAGGCCTGGGAGGGGAGGAAGGCTGAGTGGACTTGGGGTCCCTCTCATCGAACTCCTAAACGACCCTCCACGGCTCTGGGCCCCAGAGGGTCAGGGAAAGGGGTAAGGTTGGGGCCTGCATGGGGAGGCCTCTCTCCTGCCTGAGTATAGAGTCCATTCTCAACGGAGATGAAACTGCTGCGAGCAGAGGCTGGCAGGGATGCCCAGGGGGCAGGTGCCTGGGGTTGGCGTGTCCTGTGGGTGGGGAGCTGCGCCCACCTTGACAGCGGCTGGGGCGGGAGGACGGTGTCCAGAGTTGCTGGGCAGAAGTAGCTGGTGTTGACCGTGGCATAGGGGATGTGGAGAGAGGCCAGGGAGGCTGGGCCGGCCGCCTGCAGGGGTGATGGGAAGGAGGCCCCAGTGAGGCTCCACCCCCTGGCCCTCTAGCTGCAGCCCACCCCATTCCAGCTCCAAAGTGATCCCCTCGTCCTCACCCTTGCTGGCATCTGTGTCTGGGGGCTGCTGAGGGGTGGCTGAAGCTTCATGACAGACCTTGGAGAGAGTTAGGAGGGTGAGGGGCAAAGCACATGGCCAGCCCCGTGCAGTGGGGGTTGAGACGGGGCCGCAGGGGCGGGGTCTCACCAGTGCCTCTGCCGGCGCAGGAGGTGGAGGAGGTAGAAGCAGCCAAAGAGGAGGACCCCCGAGACTCCCCAGATCCCAGCCAGGTCGGCCCGCACGACGGGGGCTGGAGTGGAGGCAGAGAGCCCTGCACACAGAGAGACGCACCAGACGGCGCCCGGTGCTGGGAGGCCCTCCCTGCCCTCCCCGGGCGCCCTCCCCTCGCCAGCCCCACCTTGGTCTGTGCTGAGGGAGGGGTTCCCACAGGCCGCCTGGGAGCCCTCGGGGAAGGAAACAAACTTGCAGCAGAAGGTGGTGTTCGGACTGGGGCTTCTCCCCTCAGACCCTTCCAGGGTGAGGGAGATGCTGGTTTTGGTTTCCCAGTGGGCCTGGCGGGCTGGGGCCTTCAGCTCGGTGCCGAATTCCGGGTGCAGCACAGCCAGGCTGGCCCCTTCGGCACCATCGGGCTTCCCGCAGCTCACAGTCACCAGGGAGATGGAGCCAGATCCCAGGAATCCACAGCGGACAGTGAAGGACGGGGACTTGGAGGCCTCCGTCTGAACTTGCACCCAGACCTTGGGGGTCCCTGTGGGATACAGGCATAGGGAGAGCCCAGGCCTGTGTCTCCACCCGCCCTCACAGCCTCTGCGTCTCTCTGGCCTCCACTCACCAGCAGTGACGCAGAGTGTCAGCAGCGCCAAGAGCAGGAGCAGGGCCCGGGGCCTGTCCATGGCTCCCCTCTGGCCCAGGCTCTGGGGGCTGTGATGGTGGGGACGGCACCTGTTTCCGGTCTCATTGCAGGAAGTCTGCAGGTGTGAGCAGGCCGGGGGAGCAGCCGGGCTGGGTGTTCTCCACACCCTGCCCCACTTCCTTCTCTCACTTACCTCCGTGTGGTGAGCAGTGGGCGATGGACCTCCTTCCTCAGGAGACTTAAAGTGACAGTGACAAGGTTTCCCTGTCTCCATGCCGTGCTTCAGGGTGAGCAGGGCGGGTGGCTGAGGTTCCTTCCCCAGGGCCGTCTGTGGGTAGCCGGCCAGGCCCTGGAAAGGGGCGAGGGGTGGGGGAGGGAAGAACCAGGGGCGCCTGGTTTCTCCTCAGGAAGAAGACTCTGACCCCTGGCCCTTGCCCAGCTAAGGGGCAGGGAACGTGGAGGAACTTGGGAGGAGGAAGACCAGACCTGTAAGCAGGCAAGTCAGCAGGGAGACTACCAAGAGCCAAACCGAGCCTGACCCCTCACTTCTCTCTTGGGGACACCTGAAGTGGCCTTCCACACTGCCTATGTGCCAGCCAGTCCCACATTTAAATCCAACCCAGACCTCCCTCCTGACCTCCAGCCTCGCACAGCCAGCTGCCCCGCTTAACATCGTCTCTTGGATGCCTAACGTCACAAGCACGCCCCAAACTGAACTTTGCCCCGTCTGCAGCCTCCCCCAGCACAGGTAGGACAACCGGCTTTCAGCTCCTCAGGCCAAAGGCATGGGCATCCGCGACTCTTCTCGTCTCCAGCCCATCAGGAAATCCTGACCACCTGTCCCTCTTGCCACCTGTCTGACCCAAGCCGTCTCTTTCCACAAAGTGTGGCTCCATTGCTTCCCTGTTTATGTTGATTTACAGAATGCAAACCAAGCCAAATGCTGTGGTATCAACAGTGACAGGGGACCCTAGCCAGAGGTCAGAATGCTTTGCGTCTTGTCTTATCCTGTGCTGAGCTTGAATCTGGAGAGCAGCTTGGTGAGCTCAGGGTTAGAGCCAAGGGCCCATGCTGAGGACTCTCGTCCAGGGTGTGGTGAGAACTGAGAGGTGGCCCAGGGCTGTGGTGACCTCTCTGAGGCCAGGCCTGCCCACGTGCCCTGGATTCAGCATCTGTGTTTCATCCTGTAGTGTTAGCCATAGACCAGTCGGTTTCTTGAGCAAACTCTGTCACTCCCTCCACACCTGAGAGCCTGGATAAGCAGGGCCTCCAGGCCTTCACTTCACTGCTCCCAGCCCAGTTGGCGTTCTCTCCCCCGCTTCACCTTCTCTCAGGCCTGATGAACCAGTCTCCAAACCTGACCCAGCCCTGCGCTCACCACCTCCTCCCTTACTGTTCCCCTGACAGGGTGTGAGATGCGTGCAGAGCTGACCCAGTTCAAGGTGGCCCAGCCCAGTGTGGGTGCAGAGCACCGGGGCACGTGGGGCTGCTGGCCTCAGCCTCCCTAGCCTGGAAGACCCTTGTCTCCCATCCTCCCCACTTTGCAAGGCCCAGCTCAAATCCCACCACCTCCAGGAAGCTGTCCCTGAGTGAACATTTCCTGCTTGGACAACCGTTGCACAGATGGCGGGCCCTGAGTGGTGGCTGTCTTTTATTCACTCCCCACACAGTCCGAGTACATAAGAGGAGCCCAATACTTGGTGATCAGGATGTGAAAAGCCTTGGCACGAAGTTAACTGTTCACCAATATTTTCAATTTTATTTTTACTCTTTGCATTGTGTCTCATCCTGTGCTGTCCCCTCAGTGAGTCCTCACTGTATAAGCCTCAAACACAGAAGAACAGAAAACGTCAAAGTCCTCCCTCACCGGCCTACTCATTCCCACTCCCCTCGCCATCTGAATTTTCATGAGATTGAAACTGTCAATCTTTTATCATCTCTAGATTTTGTGTATTGCTTAGAAGGCCAAGTTCTAAAAACAATTCCCTAGTTTTGTTTTTATGCTTAACTCTACGGAGGGTTTATTTTTAGCCCATGAAGAATTTTGATTTGGGGGCTGTGTACAATAGCGTGACATTTTATTTTAGATGGAGAGCCAGATGTCCCCAAATCATTTATTTTATTTTTTTTGAAAAAATTTTTTTTTAAAGATTTTATTTTTTTCCTTTTTCTCCCCAAAGCCCCCCGGTACATAGTTGTATATTCTTCGTTGTGTGTCCTTCTAGTTGCCGCATGTGGGACGCTGCCTCAGCGTGGTTTGATGAGCAGTGCCATGTCCGCACCCAGGATTCGAACCAATGAAACACTGGGCCGCCTGCAGCGGAGCGCACGAACTTAACCGCTCGGCCATGGGGCCAGCTCCCCCCAAACCATTTACTGAATAGTCTCTTTCCCTACCGTTTCAAACTGCCCTCTTGATCATAAATCCTTACAAGTGGTTCTGCTTCTGGATTCTCTTTCGTAGTCTATCCACTGACTGACTGGCTTATTCCTCTTTCAATGCCACATGGTCCTAAGTAGAATGCTTTTATGTTTTGATATATGTGAGGGCCCTTTTCCTTTTCTCAGAGCTTTCTTGGCTATTCCTGAATAGTCTCCAGAATTTTGAGCTCCAGAGACACAATGTCACTCAGCCTAGCAACACAAGCCCTGGATCATCAGGCCAGCATGGTCGGCCTCTTCTCTCTTTGGCCCGGAGGTACTTAGATGACACAGGTCTGGCAACGGCCACCTGCTCTGATGCTTCTTGGTGAAATCTCTGCAGCCACAGCCCGAGTCCTGCTGCAGTGAAAGCAGCCTGTGGTCAGTCTCTAGAATTGGGCCCACGAGGGTTTGAACCAGTGTCACCATTTCATAGCTCTGCGGGCTTAGACAAAGAGACTTAACCACCCAAAGTGGCAACATCTCAACACGGGTCACATGGCTTCCCAGTATAAGTGAGAGGACTAGTTAGCACAGGTGCGGCACTCTGCCCCGGCCTGGCTCGAGCCCTCAGCGAACGTTGGTGACCATCCTTTTATGAGACCTTCCTCACGTGGGTCTGTAGAGTGAGCCTCATAACTGCCCCATTTATTTTATTTTTACCTATATTTTAAATGTTGTGAAAAAGGCCACTTATTTTCCTGCACCAAAGTAGTATAAACAATAAGAGGCACATCTGAGTTATACTATGTGCTAAATTTGTCCTCGGTGATTCACACATATTAGCTCCACACTTACAATCACCATATGAGGAAATAACCCTCCCAGGGTCGCAAGGTCAGTATACAGTGAAGCAGGATTTGAACACTGACAAATATTTTAGCTCCTGAACCCACACTATTAACAACTATGCTGAGCTGCCTCTCCTACACACAGTCAAAACATTTAAATTGAATTGCAAGATTTCTGTCAAAACCCAGCAGTCCTCTGCCCCATCAGTGGAGAAACTGTGCTGTTTCCAGATTGGGCTGCCTCCTCATGCTCGGACGCGAGAGGCTACGACAAGGACACGAGACACTTCACTTTCGGCGTCTGCTACACCACTCAGTCTCTTCACCGGTTCTCATCTACTTTTCCTTCAAGTCTCCCTGGGATTCTGTGTTCCTCTGCCCGCCATTCTTCTCTAGTTTCCAGGGTTTATTTCTGGTGGGTTTGCCACTCTTCTCTCTCTCTGCTCTTTCCTGACCACACTTTTTAGTGCCTATTTCTCCAGCTCTCCCAACTCCACACACGGGTTTTTAGTGAATCTGCACTCAAGAGTGACGTGTTCTGTGGATCCTCTCCAGGGTCACAGAGTTCCCCCATGGCCAGGGAAGGAACTACAGAGCTCAAGGAAGGCTTCAAAACGTCTACGTGTGAAAATAAACCGTTTCCCCATCTTGCCACCTCATCCCTTCATGTCACCCAAGCACAAATTCTTCTTCCATCCTGTAACCCCCTGGTCAGTGTTGCCTGGAGTTCAAAGCACAGGGTGACTTACCTTCAGCTCGAGACTTTTCTCAGCAATCTGGAAAAACCTCTTCCCTTTAATAATTTAGGAGAGAACACCAGCAATTCACCTTTTGGCGGAGCTCATGGCCACAACAAAGGTTAAAAAAGAAAAAGCCTGATTGAAAATTATTTAAAAGCAATTATTATAAATTTACTAATAAAAGTTATTACAAAAATTATAAAAGCAATAGTAAGATAACAGGCGTGCAAGCACCACCAGGCCCCTGAAAAGGATCGCTTGATGTCACTTATCAGCCCAGGTAAGGTTCAGCCTGTGCAGGGGCCTCCCCATCTCCAGCCCGAGCTACGGTTCCAGCCTGGCCTGGGCCTGACCACCTGGAGCTGCTGCCCGTGCAGCCCACACCCCCGCCTGTTGGCAAGGGGTATACTAGCACAAAACCCTTCAAAGCTGTGGTTGTCAAGGTGAGGTGTTTGTACCTCAAGGTGGTACACAAAACGTCTACTGATGACATGCAGGAAATATGACTAATTTCTAATTTTTTAAGAGAAAAATACAATGAAGTTAACTTTTATTACTATGACATGACACTGGTGCCCTCACTGGGATCCCAACATCTTGCTTTACCTCTAATCAGATCAGCATCCTAAGGTAAGAGAGGCAAACCCACAGCTTATTACGATGAGCTTATTACTGAAGTTTACATGCTACAGGATGTAGTGGTTTTGTGGCCCCAAACAATGCACATCCCCTCTGAGAACGCTGTCATCTGCGCTTGGAAATCGTTTTCTGACCTGTTTACAACTCTTCCAAGCGAAGAATTTCAATGGGTTTTAACTCATCTATTCAAAAGGTGGTGAAGAGAGCCAAATCAGCACCTACTTCATTTGGATTTACATGTTTTTGAGAGGTACTCTTTTCAGTTATGAAGGTCATTAAAACTAATTCTCAAAATAAGCAACTTTCAACTAGAACTTCAGAAAATGTTAAACCATGATTTAAAAATTTTTCTCACTTTGCTCTAGTTTTTTAGAGCAAAAAAGTATTTTGCACTGTTAACCAATAACATATTTAAATAATTTATTTCAACTCACCCATTACATTTTTAATGTGTATAATAAATTAAAATAGTAAATGTTTATATAATATATAAATATATTTTTTTAACTGATAACGATGCCCAGACTTTTGGAGTCTTATGACTCTACGGTTCTGTCTCAGTTACTAGTGATACATAACAAATCACCCTAAACTTAGTGGTGCAGACGTTACCGGCACATTGGGTTCTTACTGTCCCCCAGTCTAGAAATCAAGAGCGAAAACAAATGGGAGTAGAAAGTAAAAGTTTATTAGCTTGTGCACAGGAGAGGCACAACAGAGCTGGTGTGGAAAGGAAAAGGGGAAGTGATCGGCTCGTTAGGGAGTGGGATCGAGGGGCTTTTGTTAGGCAAAGGCTGGGGAAGAGGGCCTTGTCATGGCATGTGGAGGTGGGGTTGTGCTTGCACCTGTGCTGTTGTTCAACATGCCACCTCATGCGACGCATGTATCATTAGCATGCTAGCTCTCCACTCCTGGGTGTGATTTTTACTACGCTAATGGGGCTAGAGTCAGCTTCAGTGGACTCCTGGGTGCTAGGGCGCATGCGTAAGCCCAGAGGCCACAGAATGTGCATCTCGGTGGCCTCTATCTGATTCTCCTAGCTTGCCAATTGGTTAGGCCAATCTTGTTGGGGCCAATCTTGTTAGGCCTGGGGCCTTGCAGATGGCCCTGTCTCATTAGGCTGGTTCCTGTCTCATTAATACCACCATTTTTATCATGTTCATGGATTCTGAGAGTCAGGATTTGGAAAAGGCACAGAAAACATGGCTTGTCTTTGCTCCCTGATGCCTGGGGCCTCAGCTAGAAGACTCAAAGGCTGGGTGTTGGGATCATTTGATTCATGTCTGAATCATGTCTGGTGGTTGATGCTGGACATAGGCTGGGACCTCACCTACGGCTGTTGGCTGGATGCCAACATGTGGCGTTTCCATGCGGCTGCCTGGGGCTTTCTCACAGCATGGTGATTGGGTTCCAAGAGTGAACAGCTTGTGGGGGATCAGAATTGGCCACCCCAAAATGTGTCTCTTTGCCTTGCCTTGACTATTTTTAAGAACAAAAGACTTTGAAAGCAACTTTGACCTTCCCCCTAATGGTCTAAAAGAAATTTAAAATAAAGGCCTGTCCCCAGGACAGGCCATCACCATAGATAACTCTGGGTATCTGGTGGACTGGGAGGATCCTTGCTAAACCTGCTCTCATTAGATTTGTATTTACTAGACATTTGCTTTTCCATTTCCATGTGACCTGCCTTCTCCCCTTTGAAGCCCCAAACCACCAGCCCCAACATCCTCCTTTGCCTTTAGCTGAAGATGGTATCTATGATGAGAGCCTCTGCCATTTTGGCGAGTTACCCAGGTTTCCTGAGTCTCTCTCATGTATACATGTTATAAAGCTTTGTTTGATTTTTTCCTGTTATTCTGTCTCATTTCAATTTAATTCGTAGCCCAGCCAGAAGGACCCAGTGGGTAGTGGAAATGTTCTTCCTCCCCTACAATCTTAAGAAACAGGACACGGAAGCTACCAGCTTAAGGTCTGGATTTGGAAACTGGCACAGCATCACTCCACCGTATTCTATTAATCAAGCAATTGCAGAACCCATATTCAAGGGGAGAGGACCTAGACCCAACCTTTCAATAAAGAATGTCAAAGAATTTGGGGAGCATGGTAGAAAAATTGCAGATTCCAAGGTTGGGGCTCAATCCACCAGACTAGGGTGTCTGCTGCATAAAGATCTCCACATTTACAAAGGCTCCGAGTTTCTCTTCTGATCTTGTGAAGTACCCTCAGCTTGGCTGGCATTTAAATAACTCAGCAATCTTTCTCCTCCAGGATCCTTAGTTCCCACTCTGCTCTCAGATCCCACAAAAAAAGCTCCTCTCCCTAGAGTTGTTCTACCTGAATACACGTTAAAAATCTCTGAATGGCTTAGCTGCCCGCCAGGGCACTGGTAGCCTGCCTTTCCAAAAGGAGACTCAAAAACCCAACTTCTAGCTTTTATCTGGGAGGGAGAGTATGGGAGAAGAAGGGGGAAAAGGAAGAAAGGAGTTTAGCTGAGTGACCAGATCACAGGAAGTCATGGTTCCTTCTGCACAGACCTAGATGGCTAGATGGCTATGTTCAGCCTGGGAGCCCACAGTGAGAACTCGAAATTAAAGCAAATGCCCAGGACAGGGAAGAACTGGAAATCATATCTAAAAGAAGAGGCTGAAGGGTTCCTTAAATAGTTAAAGGAGAAAGCGACAACAGTGTCTCTATATATTTGATTGCTTGTCAAAGGGAAAAGAGAACAGAGGTGCTGTGAAGCTCCAAGAAGCAGAACAAGAACAAACAAGCCGAGTTCCAAGGAGGCCGGTTTAAACAAGTCAGAGTTCCAAGGACGCCGGTTTCCGGAGGCTATTTTGTGGCAGGATAGGTGAGAGATAACGGTGGCAACGAGAGAAGAGACAGATCAGAGAGATATTTTGGAGAATGACTTGACAGAACTTGGAAGAACAGGCTGGGGAAGGCAAGAATGAGAGAGAAGGTGGTGTTAAGGACTTGGATTTGGGGGTCAGACGTTTAGAACAACTTATAACTTTCCTCCTAACTTGCAGATACTGAGATTCTATAAAATTTCAAATTGTAACAGGTGTCTTTGGGATGACTACTTAAAATTACCCCAGAAAAGAACCCTTGGGTAAAGGCTGTGAAGATATGTGGCCTGGTCTGGCCTCAGTGTAGGTGACACAGGCAGGTCCACCCTCTAGCCAATTAGATACTACCTCCCCTCTTTGGCCTAAACTGTCGCCACTATTCCAAGGCAGCCAGTCTCTCCCTAAGCCCTTGGCCCCATCCAGTCTCTCAAGTGCTAAGCCTTACATCCTTGAGAGCCAGTACACAAAGCACCTGGTGGAGGGTGTGTGCAGTGCAGGCATCTGTACACTGGACCACGGGGCTAGGCAGAGCCACTTCAGACACCAGCAAAGAACCTGATCTCCAAGAGTTTAACAATCTCAAGCCACACTTTGGGAATCGGCTGATTCAAACATGTTTATTGAGCTAATCACTAGGGCACAGAAGAGGCTGGGAAAGATGTTTCAAAAATACAGGAAAACTACTTGGCTATTTCCATTCAACACACGAGGCAGTGCCCCCCTCCAATACTGAGGAGAAGCCCTCACCCCTCCAAACCCAGCAGGAAACAGGCAGTCTGCTCAAACACAGAGGGACAGAGCCATGGTGCATTGAGAAGGCAGGGGGCCTAAGGCTTCTCCATCCCAACATCCTCAGAGAAAGGTGAGGTTAGAAAGGCAAAGCCCACCTCTCCTTCCCCTCAGAGACCAGGGGGAGGCCTGGAAGTAATGGTTCCTTTTGCTCTGTTCTCCTGTTTGCCTTTTCCAAGTGGTTATGTCACTGAGGTGGAGCGTGGAGATGAGGAGGGGCCGAGTCATGTCAGAAATCCTGCAATGAGAAAGATGGAAGGGAAAAACAATGTCGTAACTACACAGCAAAGGGCAAAGAGACGACTGCAAGGTCCTCCAGATGACCATTCTCCTCCTGCCCTCCCCTCAAAGCTACTCCTGAAGCTCTGGGGACAGCTGAGAGGGCAGGCCCTGGGCCTTCTTTCCACCTATTTGACAGGGACATGGGTTACCTACCGGCACCTCCCAAGGACACACAACTCCTCTTAACCTGCCTTCACAGTCTGGTTGGGGGATGCTCACCTCAATGTTCAGCTCTGTAGAATCTAAGAGGTCCAGCCCGTGCTCACTGGGGGAAGAGTGCTAGAGACAATGAGGTCAAAAGTCAGAAAGACCCTTCCCCACTCCCGTCACATGGCGAACAGAAACAGTGCCCTTTCCAGTCTCACAGGAACAAGTGCGAGGCTGTGGTGGGTCCCTGGAACGGTCAGGGAGGGGAGAGTCGCAAAGGCAGGGGAAGCAGCAGGCTCAGGCCTAGACTTCCTGGAGTCACCAGAAAAGGGTCTTTTCTCCTAGCCTGCCGACTGAGCCCCTTAAATTCATTCAGTTTTGGAACCAGAGAATGAGGTTTTTCCTAAGGGAACTTTAGGAAAGACTATTTTAATAGAGGTCTTGCTCTCTAGTTTCCAGTTTGAAGATGTCATTGTCTGGTTTTTCCTTCTGAGCATAACACCTCCATTCACCTGCTCTATTCCGTCCTTTCTCCCTCCTCAAAGAGCAGAGAAGGGAGCAGGAGAACAACAGCAGACACATAACCCTGTTTAGTTTATAAGGTGCCTTCACTTTGTATTTTGTGGAAAAGCTCCATTTTAAAGATGAGGAGGCTGAGAGGGGTTAAGCAGCCAAAAGTGGTGGAACTGAGGACTCAAATTCCATGCTTTTCCTACTAGACTGGCAGCATTTCCTCCTGGGGAAGCAGGCAGGGCACAAAAAGGTAGTAAGTGGAGGAGAAGGGGCTGGGGCAGGCCTCTCAGGAGACAGGAGGGAAGGCAGGAGTGTGCCTGTGTGCGCGTTCTGAAGAGACTTACTGAATGGTTGCAAGATTGGACTAGACGACCCTCCATCTCTAGCTCTAGGACTCCCTTCAATTCTTAGGAGATTCCGAGACAAAATACTTATTTGAGGATTGAGAGGGCAAGTGCTACTCCAGTCCTTTTTGCTATTTTTAATTTCTTTTCCCTATTTCTTTAACAAAAGTAAAGTCCAAGCAAAGTGCAAAGTAACTTACAAACCTCCCTCTTTCACTCTGTGATTCTTTCAAAAGTCCTAAGCCGCTTTCATATACACGGGCATCAGCAGGACTGACGGGAGAATTACTCTCGTTTCTCTTCCTCACATCTGTCTCCAGTTCTAGAGTGAGAGGGTATGCTGCAGCCGCTCACCTTGTTTGTATATTGCCATTCTTCACTTGACTCATGCTGAATTTCCAACTCTTCTTCATCCTCTTCCATAAGGCTGAGTCTGACAGCAACAGCAAAGAGCAGAGTTTTTCCAACTGCTGTTTAAGGACTCCTGAGGCACCCCAGGGGCATAGGGATGGGCAGGAAGTAGAGCAGGGCTCTAGGTTCCTACTTCTGCTTCAATCAGAGCAGCTTTACTTATATCAGTTTTACATACTAGGGTTCCAAATTATCCTGAAAGGAGGTGTTCTGTGGTTAAAACAAGTCCGAAAAGCACATAATAGAAGCACTGGATAAAGGCAGAAGCCCCTCACAGTGGGCGACAGCCCTGATGTGAAGATAGATGATGATGAGAAAAGCTCACCGGGTCAGCTGGTTGCCCAGATCAGGACCTGGAGGGTTGAGTGGAATCCGGAAATGATGTGGGCTTGAGAACTCTGACCTCTGGGTGCCTGAAAGGGGTTGGCTGTTGGGAATGAAGTAGGATCAGTGATGGGATAAACACAAAGGGTAAGAAGAGGAGATAAAGTGGCCAGCGTTAAAGGGGAGAGAAGCTCAGAGTGTAGGGAAAAAGAGAAAATTTAAAGCTAAAAAAATGGAAAAAGATTGGAGAAAAACCTAAGAATGGGGGAGTGCTGCAGGAAGGAACAGAACAGAAACAGCAAGATGGAGATGGCAAGACACCAAACTGGGAAATCAGACACTCAGATTCTCCCCTTGGACCTCACCCTTGGGTAAACTCTGATTCTGAGCCGCCTTCTTCTTCCATCTCTTCCAGCCCCCCCAGGGGCTGCCTAGTCTTCACAGCTGTGGAGGTGAGGGTGGGTGTAGGTGGCATGCTGGTCAGCTGCAGGCTTTCCTCTTGGGATGAAGAGATATCCTCTCTGTGCCTCCTGGAGGGGCCTGCAAAGAAACAGATGCACATATTAACTGTAGACCAGGTATCACCACAGATGTGTTTACTTTTTTAAGACCTGCCCAGGACTTGGTTTGGGAAAGTTAAGAAAGAAGAGACTAGAAAACCCATATGGCCTCATTATGGTATGACTAAAAAATGAGCAGAGTGCTACATACTAAATGTATACCCCCATGTACTAAAAAGTAAGGCTTATAGAATTGTATCTAGGACTTGTCCAAGAAAAACTTACTGCATAGTTTAAAAAACAAGAAGGAAAGAGAATTAAATATACATTGCACAGATAAACAGTAACACATGAAGACAAATGTGAGAGAGGGTTAGATTCCTTAAGATTGAAAGGTGTCAGCCAATCGGTGAAGACATCTGAGGTCCTAGTCATTCACGATTTTTTAAGAAAAACCTTAAAATGGCAATAGAGTTTTGGGACTTGAAGCTAGGGTGGAAACATGAGGGACAGGGAGGAAGAGAAAAAAGCCAGAAAAAAATGAGATGATTGCAATGTCAGTGCAGTCCTGATATGAAGGATAAGTGGAGGACCTGAGGCTCAAAATGTTAAGAAACTCTCTCCTGCAGTGATCTGAGAAGGTAGAGGAGAAAGAATCCACACACGTCTCAGAAAACCCAGGTAATGCTATTTTTTTTTTTTAAAAAGAATGTTTTTTCCATTCTTTTCTCTTTTTTTTTTTAAGATTTTATTTTTTCCTTTTTCTCCCCAAAGCCCCCCAGTACATAGTTCATAGTTGTATATTTCTCGTTGTGGGTTCTTCTAGTTGTGGTATGTGGGATGCTGCCTCAGCGTGGTCTGACGAGCAGTGCCATGTCCGTGCCCAGGATTCGAACCAACGAAACACTGGGCTGCCTGCAGCGGAGCGCGCGAACTTAACCACTCGGCCACGGGGCCAGCCCCCCAGGTAATGCTATTTTAAAACATAAGTCAAATTGATATCAGTGTCTGTCAACTGTAAACATTCATACCCCCAATTACTCTCTCTCCCCAAGGCCATGTTCGTATGCTGAAACCAGTAACTGGAAAGTGAGCAGCTAGTGGTTTAAGTGGAGAGCTACAGAAAACAGGGAAGAGCCACAGCAATGAGCTTATATCTGCAGGTACATCCTCCTAATCTCCCCAACCTATTAATGGTGTAATGCCCAAGGTCTCAGCCCGTAGACCTTCCAACTGCCCCATCTTCACTGGCTTCCTCAGCCATTCAGGTTGACAACGTTAAATACCAACTCCCAAATTTATCTCAAGCTTTTGCCTCTCCCCTGAACTCCAGGTTCCTATCCCCAGCTGTCTGTCTAACATCTCCAATCAACACAGCTAATACCAAAGCCCCGATCTTACAGCCTTCCCGTCTCAGTTGCTATGAACTCCATCCTTCCAATTGTTAGGCTAAAACCCTTGGAGTCAGCCTCAACTCCTCTGTCTTACATCCCACATCCAGTTTGTCAAAAAGTCCTATTAGTGGTATCTTGCAAATGCATCCAGAATCTGGCCACTTCTCACCTCTATTTTTGTTCATTGCTGTGTTCCCAGCACATGGTGCTCAATAGATATCTGTTCAATGAACAATGGAACTAATCTTTTCAGTTTTATCCTACTTTTACAAACCCTCTGATCTAAGCAAACCAATCTACACATCGATGTGCTTTGGCTAACACATAGCTTTCTATGTTCTGCCTGTGCTATTCTGCTGATCCATGATACTCACTCTTCCTCTGTTCAGCTTACATAAATCTTATTTATAAATCCATTTTTCAAGCTCCAGCTTAAATTCCAGCTTCTTGATTAAGCCTTCACAGATCAACTAAACTTAAAGTGATCCCTTCCTTCCTTGAATTCTGCAGCATTCATCTGTCAAACTCATTTACTAATGCCTGTTCATAATTCAGATTTTCTATACATGCTTTTTCTCTCTTTCCTATTAGATAGTAAGCTGCTTGAGGATCTTTCATGGCCTCCAAAACACCTAATACAGTATCTTGCAAATACTAGGCCCTCACCAAATATTTTTTGGTTAACTGACTAAAGGTAGAGTTTCCTGGTGGTATAAGGGATAATTTTAGGTGGTATACAGAAGACATTAAAAAGAAGTTGTAACCTATCTCACACCCTCACACCATATACAAAAACTAACTCAAAATGGATCACAGACCTAAATGTAAAAGTTAAAACAAGAAAACTCTTAGAAGAAAACATGGGAGTAAATCTTTGTGACTTTGTACGAGGCAACGATTTCTTAAGATAAGACACAATAAGAACAAACAACAAAAGAAAAAACAGACATGTCGGATTTCATCAAAATTAAGAACTTTTGTGTTTCAAAGGACACCACTGAGAAAACAAAAAGACAACCCACAGAATGGGAGAAAATTTTTGTATATCAGATATCTGAAAAGGGATTTGTATCTAAATTATATAAAGAACTCTTACAACTCAAAATAAAAAGACAAAGAACTCAATTTAAAAATGAGCAAAGGATCTGAATAGACATTTCTCCAAAGATATACAATTAGCCAATGAGCATGTGAAAAAATGCTGAACATTATTATTTAGAAGGGCAAGACAAATTTAAACCACAGTGAGGGTCTGACCCCATGGTGTAGTGGTTAAGTTCCCACGCTCAGCTTCAGTGGCCTGAGGTTCATAGGTTCGGATCCTGGGCGCAGACCTAGCACTGCTCATCAAGCCACGCTGTGGTGGCATGCCACATGAAATAGAGGAAGATCGGCACAGATGTTAGTTCAGGGCCAATCTTCCTCATACACACACACACACACACAAACCGACAATGAGATGCTAACTCATAGCCACAAGGAGAGGGATAAAATAAAAAAATAACAACTGTTGGCAAGAATGTGGAGAAACTGGGGGCCCCGTACACTGCTGCTGGAATGGTGAAATGATTAAGGCACTTTGGAAAACAGTTTGGTAGTTTCTCAAAAAGTTAAACATAGAGTTACCATGATCCAGTAATTTCCTTACCTCCAATCATCTATCTCCATACTTCAGACTGGCCTGTCCTTCATCCCATAAATTTTTCCCCAAGCCCTGGATCAAGGAGACAGATGTGAGAGCACATCTCTCCTGTCTCCTTGCAGATTGATCTTGCAAATAACAGAATACAAGATGTCAAGGAGGGGCACCCTAAATATACAGATTTCTTACTTCAATCTTTGGTTTTGTCATTAGTTTCTATCTGAATTTTCATAGAGTTTTCCTATTTTAGTTGGCTAGATAAACCTTGAAGAAAATGAGTAGTCCTAACGATAGTAGAAGTATTTAAAAATATTTTTTATTTGACCAAAGGCAAAAGTTTGACGGAGGTAAAAGACCACATACTGCTCGTCTAGGTAGTGGCAATAAAAGCAGCAGTGCTGAGTACCTGACGTCCAAACACACAGCATAATACACAGCCTTTTACCTTCAATGCGCCTCTTCTTGGAGCGGGGGTAGCCCTGAAGGCTGGCCTCTGCTGTATTCTCCATAGGGCTGAGGGAGTGGCAGTAGGTGGTGACTGGACCCCAGGGATGGCCAGGTGCTTGGGAGACATCTTGCAGACACTTTTCCAGGTAGGACAGTCTAAGGAAGGAGTGGGATGAAGTGGTCAATGGCCCTCACCACACCCTCCTTTCCTAATTCACATCTTCATCCACCCACCTACTAACTTACAGTAGCTGCTTGTCCTGATGGAAGAGTCGGGGAGAAAACTCTGAAAGGAGCTCCAGGAATGCTAGATTTGGGGGCTGACCAGAGGAGCCAGCTGCAGGAAGCTCTGACAAGGAGAACTTGATGCCTTCCCTAGGTTGAGCAGAATTATCTCAGGAAGACAGTCCCTTCCCACTTCCCTCCCAGGACAGAGGCATCCTGTCTAAGTGCACCCTCCCCCTGCACCCAGCTTGCCTCCCAGAGCATACCTACCTGCCAACCCAACTTGTACTTCTCAACATGCTTATCCTCACTCCAAGATATCACTCCCAGCTCTCCCTGTACACAGACTCTGGCTCAGCCCTCTTAGGAAGATGCAAGTACCTTGACTTCCAACCAATACTTCCTTACTTGTGTAGCATGACCACAAGGTCACGGTTCTGTAGCTGCTGGGGTCCAAAGCTCAAGGCAAACCTCCGGGCCAGGTCCCTCATCTCGATGAAGGCTGGAAGCTCATTCAAGCCCTCGGGCCCCTGTTCCTGTAGCAGTTCTGTGTATAACTGTGTCCAGGAGACATGGTACATTTGGGAAAGAGAGGAGCAAGGCAGAAATAGAGAAGAACAGCATTCCCTTCTCTGCCCAGAAATTCTAAAAGGCTGGGGACGCCATCTGCTATTTTTACTTTATTTCCTCCCAGGACAGTGGCCCTATCCCTGACCCCCTCCAACAGAGAAAGCATTCACCCCTGCTCTTTAACAATAAATAAAAATGTCTCTGGTAACTTAACAGGCTGAGAGAGAACATCCCAGAAAAAAACCAGGAATTCCCTATCACTTTATTGTTGGTGCTCCCATGCCCTGACTGACTTAGATTTCTATGGGGTTGGAGTGGAAACTGCCCAGTCAGTTAAAAAATACTTTCTATGGGTCTGCTAGCTATGAAAGGGATTGCCATGGAAAGTAAGAGTCAAAATAAATCAGAAAGTTCCTGCTCTTAAGGATCTCACGTTCTGCACGGCTGGGGGCGGACATAGAGGTTGTGGACTACAGGCAGGGCATGTCATGGGTTTGAGGCACTGGAGGCAGAAGGGAGTACCTGCTTGAGGCTCAGCAGCAGGATGCGGGAACAATGACTTCGGTCAATCTGCCTTGCTCTAGTTAATGTTTCCTTGATAATGTCACCATAGTCATCGTAGAACTGAGGGAGAGAAAATGGAGAAGATAACGTTTGACCATAAGAAAAGACAGTTTCTGTTTTATTTCTTCCTTCACATCCCTAATCATGTCTCCTGCCGAAAGTGCCTCAGGCAGAGAAACATGAACTTAAGCATAAAATAACTCAGACTAGACCTTACCTCTAGCCAATTAGAAGCAAAGCCCCAAAGAAATCAGAGTTTAGGCAAATAAATAAGGGAAGAAACTCTGCCCTCAGCCCATTTCTTGGAGAAGGAGGATAGTAAGCTTGTCAGGGCCCACTCTCTTTCAGCACTGAAGCCTTCACTAGCTGTCTCTCCCCACTAGAAAGAAGCTCCATGAAGCAGGAACTTTTCTGTTTTGGTCACTGCTGTGTCCTTAGTGACGGGAATGGTGCTTGGACCATAGCAGGTGCTCAATAAACAGAAATCAATACAGCGGTGGGTTGAGGAAACCTTTTGTGAGGACTGATCCCTCTTCCATTTACTTTTTCCTTCTTACGTTCCCATCACATAGACCGGGTTCACAGAAAAAAAAAAAAGATTTCTGGAGGAAGAATAACATATTTCCTTTCCAATGAATTTCTTCCTCCTAACAGCTTTTTCTCCATAATTATTTACTACTAACGCTCTTTTTTTAAATTCTTCTCCCCCAAGCCCCCCAGTACACAGTTGTATATTCTAGTTGTGAACATTCTAGTTGTGAGTGCCTCTCGTTGTGCTATGTGAGATGCCGCCTCAGCATGGCCTTATGAGTGGTGCCATGTCCGTGCCCAGGATCCGAATCAGTGAAACCGTGGGCAGCTGAAGCAGAGCGTGCGAACTTAACCACTTGGTCACGGGGCTGGCCCCATAACTCTCTTTTCTTTGTCCCTTTATTCTAAACTCTGATTACTTTTTCCCACCTACTTCTCCTTTAAGCTTGATACCATCATCTCCCCCACCCTCCTTTCTGTAGTGCTATAGTCTCTGAAGTCATGGCTGTGTTCAACTTGATGCCTCACTGGACCTTGTTGTAGTGTTTGAAAACATCTGAGGCTGCGTCCAACTCCAGCACCCCATATATCAACAGCTTACAGAACCCGGCCAGAAGGCGGCGACGCTGGTGCAGCTGCTCTATCTTTAAATGATCCTCCTGGGAATGACCTGGCTCACATCAAATGCAGAAAGGAAATATCAGAATCACAGGTTTAGGCCTCCTGCCACAAATGCCTGAGGCAGGCCCAAGCCCCGAACACTTATTGAGCCCCAGGTATATACAGAGTCCCTGTACCACCGCCCAGTTCTCCAGGCTGGATGAAGACGTGGTCCATGAGGAAGCTGGCTAGCTCAGACTGGAGAGTGGCTTCAGGAAAAAAGACAAGGGGCCTAAGGAAATCACATCCCCCTACAATCATCTGAGGGCTGAAGATGAGAAGCAGATCACTTAATAAGACAAAAGCCTGTTGGGAGAAAAAAACAATGCTTAAAAAGGACAGAGTATTGACCAAGATGGAAGTTACACAGCTAATTTCTCCTTAGAATGGGGTTCCTCAGACCATGGGGGGAGACCTGCCTCCTTAGTCCCACCTGAGTAAATGCTCACCTGCTCCTGGATCTCAGGAGCCACATCTGAGAGGCAGCTCTGGCAGAGTTCGCAGAAGGCCACCATCCTGCCCTTCAAGCTCATCAGCTGCTTCTGTGGAGACAGTGGCTTGAAGGGAAGGAATGAAGATGCAGGCTCCTCCATTCCTGTTCCCCCTACTCAAACCCATATTCACCTGGGAAGCACCTGATCCAGAAATGTGGGTTAGTGTCCAGAGAATGGAAAAATAGACAAGAGTCAAGGCTGGCAGCATCACCTGTAAGAACCAAATGTCACAAAAATGAGGGGTAGGTCAGATGAGTGAGGGGCAGATAGGGAGGGAGAGAAAGAAAAAGAGAGAGAGAGACAGACAGACACACAGTGTAGTGAAGAGAGACAAAAGCAGTGAAGAAGAGAAAAATGAGATTAGGAGAGACCCAATTCCTTTCCTGGTGGAAACGAACTGATTCCAGATCATCTTCAGAGGATTCTATCCTGCCACCTCTCCCTAATTTACCTGAAGTCTCCTAAAATCCCTCAATATTACCCTTGACTCCCAGGAAACCAGAGAAGATGGCCGTTTCAGGCGTTGGAAAGTAAACTTCACTTTCTAAGAGTGGAATGGAAGGAATGGCACACACGCAATCTTCCCCTCGCGTTTACTCCACATCCCTGGGACTGGAGCCCCCTGGGAGAGTTGGCCACCTAGGACACGGGGCCCTGAAAAACTTCTCGCCTGCCTCTACATCTCCAACTTGCCTGGTGAGGAACCTCTCCTGTGTCCACAGCCTTCCGGAGGAGTCGGTAGCATGGCTCGTAGAGCTCCCAGCGAGTTAGGTCATGAGCACTTGCGGGTGGGGAGAAGGAAACGTTACATTTGAACAGAATGGGAAGAATCAACTCCAGACACCAGTAGGAACAGGAGACGGAGCAGGAGGTGAGCTGCTGACTCACTTGTAGAAGGCAGAGAGGCGCTTCAGAGTGGCTGCCAGACTATACACCTCATCCTCATCTAGGAAGGACGACTGAGGAAGAAAGAAGGTCCATGAATGGGATTTTCCCAAGAACTCAAAGATCCAGGTTCCCTGTCTTGTATCCCTCTCCCATCTGAGTTTGGGGTGTCCCATCATTCAGCCCCAGTTTCTACCTGCAGCAGCTCTTCAAGTTCCTGTTGGAAGCGGTCGGTCAGCAGATCCACCAGTTGGCTGCGGGCAAAGTCCACCCGGCTAAAGAAGGTGAACTCAGGATTACAGAGCAGATAGAGGGCGTGAGCGCCAGCCTCAAGCACCGCTGGCTCCGCATGCTTCACCACCACCTCCTGGAGTTGCTGCAAGAACAGCTCCAGGTGCTGAGGAAAAAAGGTAGGAGAAGATAGTGTTGTGGGGGAGGTGGGGAGGACAACTCTCCTGGAGGGGAGAAATGCTGGGGGAGATAAGAAATAGGGTTCAAAGCATTAACCTTCAAGGATAAGAAGCCTAAGAAAGGGGAGGCTTACTGATTTTCTGGAACCCAGGTTCTTGAGAAGAACCAGATACTGGCAGTAGAATCTTTGGCTCTGGCAGGGAAGCAGCAAGGTATAGGAAGTACATCTTCCTTCCTCCTCACCTTCTCCAAGCGCCTGGTGCAGTAGATGTTGAGGTCAAAGTAGTTGAGAAGCTGGAGCAGGGGGGCAACCTTCTCTGCATCAGCTGAGAACTGGTGTTTGAGAGGGAGACCTACTTGTCAGCAGATACATTGCTAATTCTTACTCCCATTCCTCACCGGAGGCCATTTCCTTTCACCCACTCATTCCCCGATGCTGAACAGTGGGGCAGCTCTACCTTGGCCAGGAGCTGGGGCAGCAGGGGGATGAGGTGCTCAGTCAGCTTCACTTTGTCATTGGCTTGGATCTTACGTTCTTTAGGGGTTAAGCCCTGGAAATAGAGTCATGGAGGCGGGGGAGGGGGAAGTGTGGAGAAACACTGGGTCCAGAGGGTGTGTACATGTATCCCTTCTCCCCACGATCTTACGTACCAGGAAAGAAAAGAGAATTCAGCAGCTGCTTTCAGATTTGTTTTCCAGAAATGGAATTCTTTGAGGGGCACCCTAACCCAAGACTTGAGGATAAGGATGGACAGTATCTGCCTGCATTCAGTATTGCTAACCAACCTAACCCACTCTTCATGCCATACCTTCCTTCCAGTGACCCGCCCCACAGGTGGGTGACCCTCTGAAGCTTGCTGTACACTGGACACGAGGATTTCTATAAGTGTGCTCTCCTGCACGTCGCCCAGGTCTGGGTTGGTAGGAGGATGAAAAACAGAATCATAGATTAGCCACCCTCCATCTCCAAGTCCCTCAGGCACTCCCACTGCCCACGACACCTATGCCTTTTATAAGTCAGGAAAGAAATCTCTCCCGGTTACCTCCTAGGAGGTAAAAGTTCCCCTTCCCCAGCTACCATGTGGCACATACTCTGGTCCTTCTCCAGAAGCAAGCTTGTCAGACTCTCCCAGTTCTTCAGCTGAGACCCTGCACAGTCCCATAGGCTGTCTACCAAATAAGCTGCATGATCATGGAGCTGTGGAAGAAGGTAAACGTTAAGTTACCGAAGCCACATTAAAAAAACTCTAGGAAGTGGCTACTGATTAACAGGTCTCTCCTTCTATAGTGCCAGCTGTCATCCTTCTGTACCTGCAGGTCTTATGCACAATAGCCAAACAGCTCCTTTCCATACATCACCTCACTCTCCACAAAGAAGGACAGCAGAAGATGGAAGAAAGTCCTCTGGGAGCGGGGGCTTTGGCGTTGCTCTTTCCCATCCACTGTTCTTGTCTCACACTCAGGGTAGAACAGCCTAGTAGAAGGGACACAGGAAAGAGGCACAGCAAGGGAAGAAATAAGGGGTGGAATAATCACCATGGAGGGAAGAAACAGTGCAAGGAGGGGTATGAGGAAAGAAGAGGCGCAGAGCTAAGGAAAGCCTCAAGGAGCTAAGAGGAGAAAGGAGACACAAAAAGAGACTTTATTAGGTAGGAAGAGTCCTTAGGAAGAGCAGCAACAGATGAGGGACAGAAAACAACAGAGGATGGTGTTAAAGGAACAAAGGAAAGGAGCCTCACTCACTTCCAGTATAGAAATTCCCCTGCAGCAGAGGCCAGGGCTCGGTTAGAGGCATACACAACAGGGTAGACGCTCTCACAGTCTGCATCTGTCAGCACCCCTTCCATGTTCCTGCCAAGAGAAAAGGAGAAAGAGCAGGTGGACGTGGATGCTGTCTTCTAGCACAACTAAGGCTAAACAAAAACAATGAGGCAAAAACAATGAGGATTAACTCACAAAGAACTTTTAAATGAAGAATGGAAGACGGAGGGGTATGGAGAGTTAGAGAAGATAGGAAACTCCCCCCCCCCGGTGATCTTGTAACTCAGGAATGACCTGTCTTCCAGTCATTACACAAGGAAGAGTCAACCTATAACAGGTGGAGGGATTGGACTCAGAAGGAGCCTTTCCGAAATTGGAAAGATAAAAGTCTGAGATGTTTGCCTCCCCACTTTCCAGGACTCACTTAAGGATAACTGTTAGTAACTTGACGGCCTCCACTGCCACATCGTACTCTCGGTCCATGACCATGGAAACCATCCGGTCCTGTTGAAAGGAGAACATCACTCAATACCTCATTTTATCTGTCCGAAAACAACATGCTTTCTTAGAATTTAGAGATTTCTAAAGAGAGGGTATAAAAGCAGATGCTGGGATAGCTACAGACATATAAGAGCAAGAGAAGTGGAAGGATGAGGTGGGGAAACAGGAAACGCAAGAAAGAGCCAAGCACAAGGTAAAAGTGAGTCCCATCTCAATTTTACCTTGAAGCGGCTGGTAAAGAGCTCCAGGCGTGCAGTCAAGTCCTGGTTGCTGTACAGCCCTTTCAGAGCCTTCAGGCACTTCAGACGGACTTCTCGATGCTATTGAGGAGAATGGGAATATGACTGCTACTCCTCTATTTACCCCTACTGGGCCTTGATACTCCCCTCTCAGATTACTCATTCTGGGCCTCGATGTCCCCTATACCGAGGACTCTGAGACATCTCAGAGACAATGAACGGCTGTCTTCTTCTTTGAAAAACAAAAGGGTCACAGCAGAATTTAGCAATCACGATGAAAAAGATCTTTTGGCTAGCACCCTAGCACTTGTATTGCCAATCCATCAATAACTTTCTTGCTTTCTCATAGGGAAAGTCTTCCTCCCTTCTACTCTGGTTTTGAGGCATTTCATCTCCTAGATATGTCTTTCTCTCTTCAACCTTATCCTACCCTCCCCAATACTGGGGGAGTTTTGAGGTTCAGTGCCTTGAAGGGTTGATCACTGATCACTAGTCAAACACCTAAGCGGCAGGACCAGGAAAAACTGAAGCGTCCTAGGGCAAGGAAGAGGGGAAAGGAGAGACTCGACTCTCACCTTATCATGCAGGGTCCAGCCAATATATTTTAAATAGCTGTCAGTGAGGAAAGAGGTACTGTAGCTTTGCATCCAACACCCAATCTCCTCGATGCAGATAGCACGGATCTCAGGAAGGACATCCCTAGGCACAGAGAGACAAACTGACCCTTATCACCTTCTCTCCAAACTCACTTTGCATTCTACCAGACATCTCCCTGTAATAGAAGAATCTATTTTCTTGACTAAATATCATGTACCATGCCTTTCATTTCCTCCTCCTAAGGTAAACACAATACATAAAAAAGTAAACATTTTCTTTCTGTAACCAGCCAATAAAATAGTTGAACTTATCCTCCATGCCTCTTTTAAAAACTGATTTTGGAAGTTAATTTAACTGTTGGCCAAATTGAGTGTGTGTTTTATTTCATTTCACTTCAAGAAAAGATTAAATCAGCGTTAAGGGTTCTGGAAAGGCAGAGGTTGAAATCTAGGTAAGAGTGAGAAACAAATACCAACACTCTTCTTAATTCTACCAGTTCTTTGAACAGAATAAAACTCCCCTGCCTTTAGCACAGTGAAACAGCAGGCTGGGCTAGTCAAAGGCTTGCCAAGCTGCACACACTCAGAAAAGCCCTGCCTTTTGGCTCTCTGCTCTTGTCCTCCCAAGTCTCCGGCTCCAGGAAGATGGAGCAAGGGAAGCCTTGGGCAAAGCTGGAGAAGAATACTCAGTAATGCCTCATCTTCTTATTTTCTCTCCCAGAAGAGCTTACAAGATCCTTCATAGGTGGGGATAACCTAAACCTTACAAATTTGAAACACTGACTGTTAGAGTTTTTGCTCTAGCTGCATCAGTTCCGGGACTAACCAAATAACTCAGGGTTAGGAGGGAGCTGTGCTACTTCTACAGACTCCATAACTAAGGACCAGCTGCTTCAAAGAGAGGAGCCCATTAACTCACCTGTACCGATGTACAAAGACACCCCTGAAGAGGGCATTCATCATCCCCTCAATCTCCTCTTGATGCTCTTGGAGCTGAAGGACAAGGAGGAACAGGTCAATCTCTCTTGTACCCCAACAGCATAAGGCCAGAAAAATATAGAAAAGCATGATTTCAACCTACTTCCTATTTATTACAAGACACAATCAGAACCCATAGTATCCTATGTGCCTTTTAAACCTTCTAATTCTGGAAGAAGGTTTATAGTCAACCAATGCCTCAGAAGTTTCTTTATGTTTGGAGAAAATAACATTCCCTCTGTGTCTGATTATTTTGCCTATCTTTGGCTATTCAGAGGCCCTAGCTGGTAGCTATATATGTTTTTGACCGACAATAATTGGGAAAGTAAATTTTTAATAGATAGTTTGTTTGACAGAAGAAGTGGAACAAATAAAAAGAGAAGGAAGAGATTAGATTAGTGGTTCTCAACTAGAAGCTCTCCAGGGGACATACAGCAATATCTGGAGACAATTTTGGTTGTCACAGTGGGGAGAGATATTACTGGCACCTAGTGGGTAGAGGCCAGAGATGCTGCTAAATATCCTGCAATGGCACCATAGCCTCCCAATGTCAATAGTGCTATTGTTGAGAAACCCTGGATTAGAAGACGACTAGGTACCAAGGAAGCAGAATTATAAGGGAACATTCTTTAAGACAACTGACCCTACCTCGGCAATAAATCAACATACTGGGGAAAAATGGGTGGAGGTAGAGGTTCTGTATAATTAAAAAAATTAAAAAAACACAACAACCAGGGGCTGGCCCCGTGGTCGAGTGGTTAGGTTCGCACACTCTGCTGCAGGCGGCCCAGTCTTTCGTTGGTTCGGATCCTGGGCGCAGACGTGGCACTGCTCATCAAGCCACGCGTCCCACATGCCATGGCTAGAAGGACCCACAATGAAGAATATACAACTATGTACTGGGAGGCTTTGGGGAGAAAAAGGAAAAAAATAAAATCTTTAAAAAAAAAAAACGCCCCCTTCCCCCCAAAAACCCACAACAACCAAATGCAACGCATAGTCCTTAATTAAATCCTGGTTAGAATTAACCAGATATAAAAGGTATTTTGAGGACAAACGGGGAAATTCAAACATGAATTAGGATCAGAAAATATTAGGGAATCACTGTTAATATTTTTGGATGTGAAAATATTATTGGAATTATGTAGGAACGTGTCATTTTTTAGAAGACATATTTAAGTCTTTAAGTTGAAGTACCAGTATGTCCACAATTTACTATAAAACAGCAAAAAAAAAAAACCCAGAGGAAACACATATGGTGAAATATTACTTGTTAAATCTAAATAATTTGTATATAGTGTTCATTCTACCAGTGTCTCTATTTTTTTGAATGTCTGAAAAATTTCATACTTAAAAGAAAAGGAAGGAAAGGCATGGAAGGAAGAAAGGTGGGTCATTAGTATCAAGTTCTACAGAAGTTTGGAAAACGGAGATTGAGAAAAAGTCACTGGCCATAGGGATTAGGAGTCACTGGTTTGGGGAGAATAATTTCAAAGAAAAATGAGGATAGAAGCCAGGTAGCAAAAAGGATTCATTTGGGTATTAAGGAAGTAAGGAAATACTAAAAGGAAGGATAGAAATGGAGTAGCTCACAGAAGAGAAGAGTGAAGGGAAGATTCATGGGCCTATATACATTTATAAGTGAGAAGAAGAAAAGAGTGAGGAGGGAGAGGTTAAAGACAAAAAGGGAAAGAAAACTGATGAAGCAAGAGGCTAGAGAAATCCGAAAAAAACATTCACATTACTGAACATAATTTAAGATCTGAGACAGACCTATGTATTTAAGGTTTAAGATCATACCGGCAGTGAAAATAGCAAAAGAGCATGAAGGAAGTGGAAAGTTCCCTTCTCTAATGATTTAGCAGAGAAGAGATCTTTTGTGAGGACTGGGAAAACAGTCAGTGAGTACAGTTAGACACGGTGAGTTCGGCCAACCTCATGGTGGAGGAGTCTCAGATATTAAGGGGGGGAATTAGTGTTAGCCTCATGACAGATATAGCTATTAAAGGTTTAGTGAGTGTGAAAGATTTTGTTGGGGCTTATGTTTTCCAGTGGTTGTCTTTTAAGTTTAAAAGGAAACAAAGCAAGTACCTATTATGCACCAAGCCAGGTAATTTACTCATCATCTCATTTAATTTTCATAAAAAGGTACAATTATCAACATCCCCCCCTTACTTTTTGGTGAGGAAGATTCACCCTAAGCTAACATCTGTTGTCAGTCTTCCTCTTTTTATGGCTTGAAGAAGCCCTGCACTAACATCTGTGCCAATCTTCCTCTATTTTGTATGTGGGTTGCTATATCAGCATGGCTGATCAGTGGTAGGTCCATGCACAGAATCTGAACTAGTGAACCCGGGCTGCCAAAGTGGAGTGTGCCGAACTTAACCACTACACCATGGGGCTGGCCCTGAATTACCCCCTTTTTAAAGAGATGGTACTAAAGCTTAGAGGTTACATAAGGCCACGGAGCTAGTAGCTAATTGGAACAGAATTTAAATTCAAGAGTAACTGAAAGGCCTGTGCTCTTTCCATTCCTTGAAAACTCGGCCTCCTTTGTCAGTGGTTGGCTTTAGTTTCCTGAGGTGACCGGTACACTGTACATTTGACTAGAAAGTCAAAACTTAACTCTTTAGATGAGATGCAGGCACAACACTTAAACACTTCTGGTAATGAATGTAGACAATGGAAACCAAGCAACAGTGGCATTACAGAGAAATCCAAAATTTACTCTAAATTAGAAATGATTTCTTGAGCCAACATCCTAGAAACAAGATGAACATGCAACGACCTGACAGAATGGGTCTATTAAACTATTGCCAGACTCCACTATTCGTGATCTGAATGGTTGCTTGGGGGCCTGTGCCTTACTAGAGAGAAATGCCTGGGGACTGATTAAGTGGGCTGCGGCAGCAGCAGCAGCAGCAGCGGATGGAAGGAAGCTGGGAAAGAGAGGGGGAAGAAGCAGGGAGTACTTCTCACCTCTTTGCGTTTCTCCAACAGGCTCTCTAGCCGCTCAGGTGCTCTCTGTCCCGGCCCCTTGCTTCGTTCAGCCTCATACTGACGGTGATTGTAGTCTTTGTGCACACTCAGCTGGAGGGCAACTCTCACCAGGGAGGTCATTAGTGTCATAGCTTTCAGTCAGGAAAAATAAGATAAGGGAATCATTACTTGAGTCAGAGGGAGAAGGGCAGGTTCAAAAAAGATAGAAAAAAAGAGCAGCGAAAATGAAAAGCTAGAACAAAGTGACCCTAAAATCCTATGACTGACTGTTCTGGAGTGGACTTTTTTTCTCCCTAACTCTTCTGGGCTTCTTTTAATCCACAGCATATTCCCAATGGTGAGCTATGAGAAATATGTCAAGGCTGGAAATCGTCACTGTGATCCATCCGTTTTTACAACTCAACTAGTGAGAAACTGGACTGAGATTTGGGATAAAAGCAGCATGGCCTTGAAGTAAAGAGCTAAGATGTAGATTGGAAAGATGATCCAGGACTGAAGAGGGGAGGAAAGTCCTACCAATTCCCAGAACATTTACAGAGTAAAAATGAGTGCTTACCAGCCAGGGTGCTAGTGTGACGGAAGGCACGGACTTGGGAGTCTGAGAGGCCAGTGAGCAGGGAGATGAGGTTGTCCATAGGGAAGCCATCATAGAGGAGGCCGTACTGGCATCGAAAGACCAATGTCCTCACAAATTCACAGAAGCTACCCTGGAACTTCTTCCAGGATGGACCTGGAGCTGTCAGGGGATAGTCTCCTGAGTCCTACAGAAGGGTTTACGAGAAGGATGGGAAACTTATTACCAGATGTATGAAGCCATAGGGACTTTGGATGTCAAAATCCAATAGTATAATAAAAATGTATCTCTGTTATATCTCATTTCCTGCTATTCTCAACTCTAGAGGCATATTCAGGTAATATCTATGGGTCCCATTTGCCCCCAAGAGATTGAACTTCTCCTTCTAAAGTTATCCTATTTCCCAGACTCAGAAAGAAGAAGATAATGGGCCCTGTATTTTGAAATAAGAGTGGCAAGAGGATCCTGGTTGTCTTCCTCCACCTCATTGAACTGTTCTGTTAGGTGCCGGATGATCTCTGAGTTGGACATCTTCCTGAACATCTCTTGGGTCACAGTGCCTGAGGAACGGAGGAGATGAGACACTTACAAGGAAAATAACAGGACACTGTGACTATTTACACATACACGTAAAGATGAGCTAGGGAATATACTAGAAAGAGCTTAGGCGGGGAATCAGAAGACCTGCATTCTAGTCATAAATCTGCTACCATCTGACTGTGTATCTGCTCTAAGGCAACCTTTCTAGAAAACCCAAAGAAATCAATTAGTGGAAAATGACAGTTAAAAAAAAAAATCCAAACAAACTAAAACCAAAGAAAGCAATAAAAGTACACTGATTCTGGATTCTTATAATACAACCTGCCTGAGACTATATGCCCCAATAAATTAGGTCATGGACTTTGGGGATCTGGGGGCCCACAGCTTCAGTAGAGAAATATGGGATAAAGTGGCTGAGAAATAAGGAGTAAGAAAATAAAAGATTATTTCACCTAGAGAAAGGAAGACTAAAAGATGTCTGATGGTCCATTTCCAAATTTGTGAATATCAATATCGTTGCATTAGTATGAACAGTTAGTTTTCCCCAAAGGGTCTTATCTACAAACCAGCATAGTTTCCTACTGGCTCACTTCCAATCAACACTGTAGTTAAATAAGTGAAACTTATCTTATGCTTTACTTTCTCCCTTTATTTAAGACATACCTAATCCTACTCATTAAATGGAGGAAAAGTTTCATGACATTGGAGCAAAAAGCTGGGAATTAGAAAGGGGTACGAATTTCCTCACCTTTACATCCACAAGATTGGATGAAAAAGTTAACGAGCTCCAGGAATCCTGCATCCTGGTCTTGCTTGTAGCTATCCAGCCACTCATCCACCAAAGACTAGGAAAACAATATGGATGATTTTTATTTCTGGAAATATGACAGACTAGAAATCCTGTATGACCTTCCCAATTGAAGTATCTAAACTTCTGATTAAAATATTAAAAACATGTTTTACAATGTATTGCTGAACTGGAATGAAAGGCAGAATTTTGTATAGGCCAAAAATGAAGTGAAGGTAGCAATACTGGGAGATGAGCAAGCTGACTTTTGCCCTGAGGGGTCTATGAAACCCTGAGAATTCTGGCTTTCTGTCCAGAGGACCACATGCAATGCAGAACATTGGAGACAGAGCCGGAGGGCTTTCCAAGAAGAGTAGTCCAAAAGGAGGCTCCTGCATAAAGCTGGGTCCTGCAAAGAGTCACATCCTCGTAAAAGCAAGAATGAGCAATAAATCTACAGGTCAGAAGGGGACAGCAAGAAAAGTAACTTGTTACGACCTTAGTGTGAGGTGGAGGGGAAATATAGAATTCTCCCTTGAGAATTCATAACTATAAACCAGCTCTCATGTCTAGATTTTCAGTCCAGAGTTCACACTGCCTAACCAATCAGAATAATCTCAGAGAAGTTAATTAAAAGTGATTCTGCAGTGTCCTCAGTCAACTAACAGAAGCAAATGCAGGTTCCTCTCTTAAAAACCCACCTTCAACCCAGGCCCCAAAGAATTCCAAAATACAGAGCTCCACGGAAAATGAGCGGCTCACAGTAAAACCTAGTAAAGAAACAAGGCACTGAAAGTAAGAATTAGCAGAAAAAACAGACAGTAGAATTATACTCACAGACTTCAGACACTAGTGTTATTACAGATTATAAAGTTATTATCCTAAGTATGATTAAAGAAATAAAAGAGAATCTTGCAAGCAGAAGCAAAGAACAATCAATTTTGAAAAGGGCCAAACAAAATTTGTAGAAGTGGAAAATATAATAAATCAAGTTTAAAACTTCAATGAATGGATTAAAAGCAGATTGGACAGAGAACAGAAGATGAGTGAACTAGAAGATTAAGTCAAAGAAATTATCCACAATGCAATCCATAGAGACTAACAGAAATAATGAAAGAGCTATTAAGAGACATGGAGAATAGAGTGAGTTCTAATGATGTCTAACTGAATTCTAGAAGATAATAGAATGAGAAAGAGGCAGTATTTATAAAGAATTTTCATAGTTGTTGAAAGACACCAATCCTCAGAGCCTGGAAGCTAATGGATCTCAAGTATGACAAATAAAAAGAAAATTTACACCTACAAACATTCTATAAAACATCAGAACACAAAAGTAAAAAAAATCTTAAAAATAGTCAAAGCAAAAAGAGATCACTTACAAAGGATTTGCATTTAACACTTACAAACAAAAACATTTCCAAATTAGATCTGCACAAATATGTTAGCCCCTAGCCATATGTGGTTATTAGAATTAAATCAAATAAAAATTAAAAATTCAGTTCTTCAGTCACATCAGCCACGTTTCAAGCACTCAACAGCCACATATGGCTAATGGATACTATACTAAACATCAGTGATATAGAACGTTTCCACAGGTACAAATTGTCGTATTAGCACTAACTTAGACTGATAGCTGACTTTCAGCAGCAATAAGGGAAGTTAGAAAGCAGTGAAATCATCTTTTTAACGTGCTGAGAGAAAAAAACGTCATCTTAGAATTGTAAAACCAGCAAACAACCTTTCAAGAACAAGGGTAAAACACATTTTATACAAGCAAAAAAATGAGTTTGTTAGTAAACTCCATCTAAAGGAAATTTTAAAGAATAAACTTTGAACAACAAGAGAATGATTCTGTACGGCAGATTTGAGAAGGAATGGTAAAAAAAAATGATAAAAATGTAGGTAAGTATAAACAAACACTGTATAAAACAGTAATGTCTAATTTGTTGGGAGAGGGGGAATGGACAGAACGAAAACACTGTACAACAGCATATAAATTGGAAGGGGCAGTTGGAATTAAAACGTGCTTAGGTTCTTGCAGAAGACAGAAATCCAAAAGCAAGCAAGGAAAGGTGAAAAAGAAACAGAAAAAGGGAAGTTAAAGTGAAAGCACATAAAATTATAGAAATAAATTCAAATGATCAGTAGCGACAATAAATGTAAATGAACTAAACTCTCATTAAAGGAGAGATTAACAGCATGGATTAAAGAACATAATCCAGATATATGCTGTATGCAAGAGACAGACTCCAAACATACATAGAAAATTGAAAGTAAAAGGAAAGAAGACACAAGGCAAATACTAACCAAAAATAAAGCTAGTGTAGGTTTGTTAATACAAAACAATATTTTGTCTTAAAGTATAAAGATAAAAGAGTGTCAGTATATAACAAAAAAAGGTTCAATTTACTAGGAAACAAAGCCTTAAAATATTTAAGGCAAAGATGGGCATGAATACAAAAGGAGCAACTGAAAAAGTCACCTTTGTAGATTTTAACACACCTCGCACTGTAATTGATATATCAAACAACAACACCCTTCCCCCCAAAAAACTCAGTAAAAATATCAAAGCAGTTATCACATTTAACATTTTTGATCTCACCCAAGAGAACACTGCACCCAACAACTGGGGAACACATAATCTCTTCAAGCACACGTAAAATAGTTTCGGAAATGGACTAAACGCTAGGTCAGAAAGCTAGTCTCTATAAGTTTCAAGGACCACATTTTTTTTTTTACAATATAGAAACTACAATCAATAACAGAAATATAAATACAAAAACTCCATATGTGTGAAAATTTAAAACTTTTCTAAAAACTATAAAAGTCTACATTACACACCAACATGGGTGAATATCAAACAATTGAAATAGTTAAGTCAGAGAAGACTATATAAAGAACGATTCAGGGGCCAGCCCCGTGGCTGAGTGGTTAAGTTCATGCGCTCTGCTTCCGTGGCCCAGGGTTTCGCTGTTCGGACCCTGGGCGTGGACCTAATACTGCTCATCAAGCCATGCTGAGGCAGTGTCCCACATACCAGAGCCAGAAGGACCTACAACTAGAATATACAACTACGTACTGGGGGGCTTTGGGGAGAAGGAAAAAAAAGAGGAAGATTGGCAACAGATGTTAGCTCAGTGACAGTCTTCCTCAAAAAAAAAAAAAGAAGAATTCATTTATTTAATTAAGGAACACATTCATTGGTGATAAAACTATAATAAAAGACAAGGGAATGATTAACAAAATTTACTTTAGTGGCTATCTCTGGGTGGTGAGGGGACTGTGGGGGTAGGGTGGAGAGAAGATATACAAGGGCCTCTACAGTACTATTAATGTTTCATTTCTCGAGCTGGGGCTAGAGATCTGGGTGCTCATTTAAAAAATTTAAAATTACATATTAGCCTTATACGATTTTACATGACAACAGAATAACAAGAAAATTATAGAAAAAGAAATGTGGAGAGGGAAAAAAGAATTAAGTATAACTGTCAAAGTGGAGCTAAAAAATGACAAGGGTGAACAAACTGCCATGCACATCCAAGCTTTCTCTCTAGATTATCCAATACCTCTCTTGCCTCCTCTATCAATCAATAAAGGCAAAATCAATCCTGCGATACTTTTAGGAAAGGAACGTTCTCTCTTACCCAAGGTCTCCCTTATATCACTTCAAGGATTCGAACCACGGTCTTATCTGTCTTTCATGATATATAGGTTATGTTCACTAAAATGTCCACATTCAAGCAAGTTTGTAGACATTTGTCCTTATCTCTCCACTCTACAAAGGGTGAGATGGTATCAAGAAACAGAGGTGAGACACTCTGTTTTACCTGCATGTCACTTTTGGCAGCCTTCACAGCATCAAAGAGATCACTGGCTGGTGGCTCTGACTCTTTCTGGCCATGACCACGTACCATTTGGGACCCCTTCTTTGGATGTTTTGCCACCTAGTAAGTATAAAGAGATCAGGAACATTTTTAAAAAGTGAAAGTGATGTTGACAATTGGTCTCATCATCATCATGCAGGAAGGCTTAAGTTGCCAATTCCACAGCAGAGCTCGAGTTACCGACTCCGAACGAAAATACCTGATTTTTATACTGCAAACTTTATTTCTAACTTTGTCTCCTTTTAAAAGTCCTTTAGCCCCGTTCCTGTTCCTCTATATTCTAACACTGTCTAATCTTATTCTTTTCTCTCCAAAATTTGCCTTCTTCCTACTTCTGTCCCTTAACATTCCTTAGTCTTGCCCTTTCATCAAACATAGCGCCTGAGCCTCTTCTAAGCTTTTTTTTTTTTGCCACTTCCCAGACCAGGTTCAAAAAAACAAAACCGACTCACTGGGGTTGTTTTGAGTGGTCGTTTGGCCACTCTCTTCTTCACGTTGCGTCTCAAGCTGTCTTCAAAGTCACTGCCTTCATCAGCTGACACAGAATCACTCTCCCTATGAGGGAGCATGGTTCCTTAGATACGACACCTCAGCCCCTCCACATCAAAGGATAAGTGGATTACAATTTCTCTTTGCCTCTAACTGCACCCCCTCTCCACCGGAAAAACGGATTCAGATTTTAAGAAGAGATGAGCTTACCGTTGCCAGGAGGTAGGGACAAAGTCTTAAAGGAAAACTTTCACTTGAATAACACAATGGAAATGAAGAATGAGGAACTGAGGTGGGTGAAAGACAGCCCCTTCCTCATATTTTCTCTGAACAAGAAAACCAAGTGATATTCACTTAAACAGGCAGGGCGATCACTGCCGGGTCGAGAAAAATCAGCACAGGCTTCGGAAGTCAAATATTACTCGTACGTAAACAGGAGATTAACGTGTGCATGCAGGTAAACTTCACCCCTTGAAACAAATTCGCACAGTCCTATTGATTAGAGCTAAGTCCACAGCACAGATAACAATCTGGTCCCCAACAGGAGCACTGACAGAAGCAGAAATGATTCAGAGGAGGCCAATTAAAACAACCAGGGGATAAATCAGATCTTGTATGAGATAACTTTTTTCCTGGAAAGATAAAAAAGCAAGATATGCTATCATAACCTTCACAGAATAAGCTCATGAACGGTAACCGATAAGGATAGATGGACTTGTTGATAAAATCGCCAAATAAAGCGACTACAGGGCACCAACTCAAAACTACATCTTATTTCTCAGGCAACAAATACAGAACTCTTTACTCCCCCCGCCCCCCTCCCCCGGAGGGTGTACACGCGGGACGGACATACGCGCTCAGGGAAGGCTGAGAGCATAAGGCATTAAGAACACGCTGGATTTCTCTTGGTGCCAACACCACGTGGGGCGGCCAAAAAGCAGCGGGCAGCGCTGAAGGGGGTCGCTGTTCCAAACCAGGACAGCGTCTCTGAGGTCTCCATACGCTCATATGCACACAGAGGGCCAGGCGGCCGATGCCGCGGGACCCTGGGACCTTTCCTCCCCAACACCACTCACCCCTCGGAAGCCTGGTCCGAGGCCCTGTCATCACACGGCACGGTGACCGACGAACTGGACGCAGGAAAGCCCCTGTGTCCCCGGGCCACTGCTCCCTGCAGTGGGGAGGACACACGGCTCGGGGAGGAGGCGCTCTGGGGCTGGGAGGAGGAGGAGCGCAGGGTAGGCATGGTGCTCCGGCTGCGGGGAGACAGAGGAAGGGCTCCCACCGCGCCGCTTCTCCAGCCGCGCCCGCCCGGCCCCTTTCTTTCCAAGGGGCCTGCTCTGGGGAGCCCACAGAAAACAACACCAACAGTCTCTCCGGGTCTGGGGATGGGGCTCTCGGCCTCGAGGCCCGGGGTGGGGGTGTTCCTCTCTAAGGGCCGGGAGTGCGCAAGGAGGCCGTATTCTTGGGTCAAAGAGGAGCCTCACTGTCTGAACCTGGAACAGTGACTTCCGGCTGAGCAGGGTTGAGAAAAACTCACGGCCTTGGGTCCCTCAGCTTTCTGTGGTACCCCCAGCTCCGGCACAGACGCCCGCCGCTGCCCTTCTGCTGGCGGAAGAATCCAGAAAAACGCGGGAAGCCGCGAGGGGCGTTGCGCGCAAGCGCGATTCCAACGCTTGATCCCGGGGCTGCTAATTGTCGCGAGGCTTGGGCGAGAGCGCAAGCTGGTGCTCACCACGTTCCCATCACGCCGCTCTGGCAGCCTCGTGCAGCCACGAGCTCTCAGGCGTGCCGCTCAGTCACGTGGTCCCAAGCACGCCGGCCGCCCGCTTTGGCCTTGCTCCACTCCGGCCCCGCCCCCTTTGCCTCCAATTTCCCCCTCCATTGGCCGGGCTTCGCACTAGACTAGTAGTAGCCCTTTCAATCTGGCTTCTCAACTGCTATAGGCTGGGCTCCACCCAGGCCCCGCCTTTCGAGCCGGATCGCCACGCCCCCGGGAAAGGCCACGCCCCTCCCCCTGCCTCTGTAGTTTGGCAGGGTCCCGCTCCCCCGCCGAGCTTCCCCACCTCATTGGCTAAATTTCTCCCTGGGCCCCGCCCCTTAGGCCGGCTCCTTTCCATCATTGGCGGGGCCCCTCCTCGCGCCCCGCCCCTGTCCGGCTCCCCGCTCCCATTGTTTCGGCAGATGCCGCCTGGTCCAGCTATCGTGCTCGGTGTTCAGTTTTCGGAAGTCGCGCTCTTTCTCTGGCCGGCGTGGTGGTCCCGCGGCAGAGAACCGGCTTCCCGAGTTCGGGCGGCTCTTCTTTTCTCCTTGGGACCCACTTTGCTGTCCCAGGGCGGCAGCAGCTATGTCCGCGCTGCGATCTCTTCTGCTACTGCTGCTGCCTCTGTGTCCCGGTCCTGGTGCTGGACCCGGGAGCGAGGCAAAGGTCACCCGGAGTTGCACTGAGACCCGGCAGGTGCTGGGGGCCCGGGGATATAGCTTAAGCCTACTCCCTCCCGCCCTGATCTCAGGTGAGGAGAAAGAGGAAGACTAGAGTATCGGGGGACGAGGGTGGGGGGCGGAGGCGGGTCCTCCCCATCTTACGATAACTCTCTTTCTTTCAGAGTGACCCTTATAATCATCTTTTCGTCCCGTACTAATAATGCCTCTCCTCCTCCTGAACTTCCTTGCCAGGATCACAATAACTCTCCTGTTCACAGAATAGCTCTCTTACTCCACCCCCACCCCAGGAATCCCTTTCTAGTAATTAGCATCCCCCTCTGTGTTTCTTTCTTCACAGCCCAATTTCTTCGCCTGGCTATTTCTAGGAGCTCTTTCTCTGATAATACTTTATTGCTTACCAAGTAACCCCATCCCTCCAAACCCCATTCTTCTCATAGAAGCCATCCTGTAATTCTTTAGAGGCCTGGGGTGTGCGATGTTGGGGCAGGTCACCTGAGGACCCTCTGATCAATAATTTGGTCCATCATTATTTGATCCCTTGTCTAATGGCAGTAGACTTGGGATAGGTGAGGCGACAATAAGGAGGGGGTAGGGTCAGGTGTGAATGAGGGGGGCAGACAATAGAAAAGAGACCAGACAGGTGGAAGAGAAGGGATGGCTCCCAGAGACTGGCAGGAGAAGGAAGGAATTTCAAGCATCACTTCCCACCATTCCTCTGTGTCTCCTCTGTTCAGGTGAGCACCTCCGGATCTGTCCCCAGGAGTACACCTGCTGTTCCAGTGAGATAGAGCAGAGGCTGACGTGGGAGACTGAGGCCACCTTCCGAGGCCTGGTGGAGGAGAGCGGCTCCTTCCTGGTTCACACACTGGCTGCCCGGCACAGAAAATTTGATGGTGAGGACTTGGGGTCCCGAACCTGGCCTCACACCTCCTCTTTGTGCTCATGACCCCAGCAAGCATTCTGTCATCACTCCCTACTCCATCCCTAAGGCACCCCAGTCCTGGCTTAGCCCCCTCTCCCCACCCCAGGCTCTCTCTAGCATTCTGTCCCCCCATTCCCAGTCTGCCCAGGTCTCGGAGAGTTGCTCAGTTTCTAACTCAGCTGTCTTTTCTCTTCTCTCCCCTTCCCCATCTCTTCCTGCTTCTGCCCTTTTCCATCCTTCTCTGGCCTCACCCCACCTCATACCCCTTTCTCTGCATTTGCCACAGAGGCTTTTCGGGAGATGCTCTCATCATCTGAGCACTCCCTGGCCCTGCTCTTCCACCGCTCCTACGGCCGCCTGTATTCCCAGTACAGCGCCTTATTCAGCGGCCTGTTCTCTCGGCTGCGGGATTACTATGAGAGGTCCAGTGAGGGGTTAGATGATGCCTTGGTGGATTTCTGGGCACAGCTCCTGGAGAGAATGTTTCCCCTGCTGCACCCACAGTACATCTTCTCCTCTGACTACCTGTTCTGCCTCACGCGCTTCGCCTCCTCTGCTGATGACTCTCTGAAGCCTTTCGGGGACTCACCCCGCCGCCTCCGCCTGCAGGTGAGGGGCCCCAAGGCCTGAGCTTCAGCCACCTCTGACCTAGTGATTTCTGAACTGTGCACCACTCACTTCCAACCCAATGACCCTTTTGCGCCCCAGTCACCCCTGACCTGGCGATCCCCCCATCCTGCATGGCAGCCGTCTCTGACCTAGTGCCCTTATCTTGAGCCCCTGTCACCTCTGCTTGACCCAGCGCTCCTTGGTTTCCTTTAATTGGATACCCCCCTCCCCTACTCTGTGCTCTAGTTTCACACAAATTACTGACCCACTCACCTGCTCTTGACCCCCAGCCACCTTTCTGCCAACTCCTCCCTAATCCTAATATCTTGACTTCTTCTGGTTGAACTAAATGTGAATCAGGCACTTAATATTTGAGAAGGATTTTTACTTACAGTATCTCATTTAATTGTCATCATAACTCTGCAAGGTAGCTATTAGTATCCCTATTTTACAGATGAGAAAACTGAGCCTCCCAGAGGTTGAGGTCTCACAGCCAGTAAGTGGTAGAGCTGTGTCTCACACCCAGGTATTCTGGCTTCAAGTTCAGTCTTTGTGCTGATACACAGTCCCTCTGTTTCCAAGCCCTGTAAAACACAATTCCTTCAGCTCTTCCCAAGCCCAGTTACCCTTGATCCTTCTAGACTATAATTCCCTTGAGCCTCTTGAATCTGCCTCCTCGTACCACCTGACACTCCTAACCACCCCAAGACAACTCCACAAACTTAATCCCCACTGCCCATACCCTTGGTACAGTCACCTGGCCCCAGTCTTGACTAACCCACAACAACCCTGTGTTTTTTCCCACCTTCTTTCCCCTCCCCCAGATAACCCGGGCCCTGGTGGCTGCCCGGGCCTTTATCCAGGGCCTGGAGACCGGAAGAAATGTGGTCAGCGAAGCACTTAAGGTTAGAGGGGGTCTGAGTGTGGGCAGGATCCAGGGAGGGAGAGGCAGAAGTAGGAAAGGCCCCATGAGGAAGAGACAGGCACAGCTGGCAGGAGAGGCTGGGGGCCTTCCGATATCAGCTCAAGGCCCTGGCCTCCCAGGGTAAATTAGGAAGGAGGAGGCTGGACTGAAGTCTCCCTTGTGTCTAGATCTATGACCTCCTCCCACCTCTGACCCTCTCCTGCCCTCTGATGACTCATACTCCCTGCCAGCCTCTGGGGGCCTGCTCATTTCTTTAGCAGCCCTGGATTAGAGGGCTGGCCCCGCTGGTTTCCTCCAGGACCCCTCAGTGGCTCCCCCTTCCCTGCTACTGAAGGCCACATTCCTGGCTTGGCCTTCAAGGTCCCCCTCCCACCCCCTACCCCTTTACCTCCCAGCCTCACCTCCTGCACTCTGTCTCCTCTCCCCAACAGGATGGGCTCACCCTTGTCCTTGAACCTTTTCTCAGACCTCCCACTGTCTCTCTACTTTCATCCCTCCCAAGCCAGCAGTACCTGCATCCTGGCCCCTAGGAACCTCCCTCCTCAGATCTATGGCAGTCTTGGGGTCTCACCTGCTGCCATATGGGGTCAGCAACCTTAGACGTTCGCATCCAGCTCTCCCTATAGAGCCTGGGGAAGGTGGGGTGGGATGTGCTTAGTGCCCAGCACCAAGCTTGGCTGAGGGCAGCCACGGTGTTTGTGGATGACACAGCCCTGCTCTCTGTCCCCAGGTGCCGATGTCCGACGGCTGCAAGCGGGCTGTGATGCGTCTGACAGGCTGCCCCCTTTGTCGGGGGATCCCCTCGCTGCTGCCCTGCCGTGGCTTCTGCCTCAATGTGGCCCATGGCTGTCTGACCAGCCAGGGAATGGATCCTGACTGGGGGGCCTATCTGGGTGCGGGAATTCAGGAAAGCCTGGGAGGGCTGTCTGTGTAGGGGGTGGGTGGGGGTGGACTGGGGAGGGAATTTTAAGCCATATTGAGGGGGAAGTATGAGGGGGGCTCTTCTCATGTGAGTTTACCCCATCCAGCACCTTGCTGCTTCCCTCCAAGGTCTGGGTCAGGATTTGTGGGAACATCCTGGTTCAGCAAGTGTCTCCCTGGCTGGCCCCTCATCTCACCCTTTCTCTTTCTCCCCCTCCTTCAAGATGGTCTCCTCTTCCTGG